AGCAGCAGTAAGAAGGCCAAAGAGGCTGTGGGCGCTGTACGAAGAGGTCTGATGCCGAGTTTTTCTGCACTGTCTTGTGAGGCCGCGCTGGCTCTGGTGGTGGCCTGAATGTCCACCCGAGCCTGCGCGAGACTGCTGCGCGGGGGGAGGGGGGCGAGGCCCGCGCAGCAGCGGAAGTCCTCCACGCGAGGTGCCCAGACCTCCGATGGCTCGGCCTCGCTCAGGCCCAACTGCTCATCCCGAGTCGTTTCTGCCGACAGAGATCTAGGCACGAGCTGCCTGCGACGGGTCGCTTTGCATTGCGTGGTGCGCACCCGGAATGACATCGGGGCCCCGTCCGCCGAGTAATGCAAAAGAGCGCGTCAGCTGACAGCCCCCGGTGGCCCAGAGACTCGGACAGCAAGAAAATGGCGTTCGGGGCCCAGCGCCGGCCCAGGAGATCCGCGCTGACCTCCGACTGTTTATGTTTATACCGCTGCTCGTTTTATCCAGACGCAGCCCCTAGAGGTAGAACGAATCGCGACAACAGCAACAAAACGCGGAGTGGAATGCTCGAGTCGACGGAGGTCTGGGCGGAAGTGTCACGAGCCACGTTCTGTCGCGTATACGACGAAGGTTGCCACACACACCCACCGTCCCTGGACAGGGCGGCCATCCTGGAGCGCTGGATGCTGTGAGTCGACACTTCTGGTACAGTAGTTTCGTGTCGCGACGACGCGGCAGCGGCGCTGCCGCGGGCGATCCGGGTGGAACGCCGCCAGTTGCCCAGAATCGCCCGAAATGGAACGATCTGGCGATCCAGGAGCCGCCGATCGTTCAAGGCCGAGCGATCCACGCGATGGCAGACAGCAACGCCCAGGTCGTCACGTCACGACGCGAATCTGCCGTAGAGGCCAGGATGTTTTCACACACAGTCTTGAGGCACAGGACGAGGGCCCGGCCAGAGATGGCGGTGATGTGCAGCAGCTGTTTCCGAGCCTACTTTCTGAGGTTGCGCGCGCACCCAGGGTGTGCAGCAGCTGTTTGCGGATCCTCCTTCTCGGGCAGCACACGCTCTCGGTGTGTAGCAGCTTTGTCCCAATTCTCCTCCTGGAGCGGCCGCGCGCCTCTGGTGCACAGCAGCTCTCAGTCGAACCCGTGCCGCCCAGAAGCTCTTGTTCTGGAACAGCTCTTCTGGGGCCGTGCAGCGCTTCTGGTTTCCCAGATGCCTGCGCGAGCCTGCCCTCACTGGCAGGTGCCAGCCCAGGTCTCTTTCTAATCCACGCCGCGCGCGGACGCATGTTGCCCGCCCCCCCCCCCTATCGAGCCCATAGAGGACGAGGCAACGGCACGGACGGGGACCCTCGAAGGCACGGGCGGAGCTCTTCGGTCGGCGCTGGACCTCCTCCCCCGGATATCCAGGGGCGGCGCTTCCGGCGCTGCCCGTGGCGCGCCTCGCGCGCTGTGGATGGGTTGCGCTGGGAGGTCCACCGCCGATCCCCAGAAATCTGTGCGGATCTCCGAAAGCGCGTGCCTGTGCCACTGTAACTGGTCCTTCTTGTTCGCTTTCGGCGACACTCCACGTTCTAAGCCTCCTAGACGGGGTCGGGGTAGATGAGGTCGGCGGATCACGCCGCATCGCCGAGGCATCGACAATGCGGCTCGAGGTGGAGCCCGATTTTGTCCACGCCGTCGTCGCCGATGCGTCGCCGATGCATCGGCGACGCATCGGCGATGTGGTGCAATCCTCCGACCCCATCTGCTCGGACTGCCCCAGCTGGGAGGCCTCTACACGTGCAGGCCTGCTTCTGCCACTTGAACACGCGAAGGGGGCCCATCCTCCGATGCCGCGTTCCGTGTTTACCGAGGGGCCCCAGTCGAGCTCTGGACCCCATTGCTAGGGACAGGGGCCTTGGACGGACCTCCAGGGGCCCAACACCTTGAAAAGAAGACGGCGTGGCATGGTCCCACGCGCTGCTTCAGAGCTCTCGACGTTTCCTGTGGACGGCATGGAGCGTGTGTTCTTGATTGTTTGGGGCATAGTGGGCATTATAGCCCCCGGCCCCCCCCCCCCTCCCCCCCATATAACGTAACGCCCCTCCCCCCCAGTGCGCTCCGAGCACTGCCGCCGTGCGCACGGCGGGGGGAAGCGTTACACTATTTCCCCCCCCCTGGCCCCTCTCCCCCCCTATAATGCCCATTATCGCCGAAAATAAAGAAACACGCTCATTGTTTTCGAGAGGCCAGATGTGTGGGACCATAGCTCCAGCCCCCCCAACTGAGGCGGAATTAATGGGGTCGGAGATCGCCGATGCATCAACGAGGTGGCGCGATGAAGAGAGAGAGAGAGAGAGAGGGAGGGAGGGAGAGAGAGAGAGAACGAAAAAGGGAGAGAGAGCGAGACAGAGAGAGAGAGAGAGATCGGACGATCTGGGCGGATTCCCGTCCACGGGCCGGCGGACAAGCGCGCCGCACCTGCAGCACTTTGGCCGGTGCTGTCGGCTAAAGGGGCCCTACGCACCCGTCTTGGGCGCTCGGCCTGTGGAGGAGGGAGAGGGAAGGGCGAGGGGGGACCCCCCCCAGCGAGCAAGTGGTGTGCTGTGACACTGCCTCGCAGCCGTCCGAGTCTCACCTGTCGGATTAGGCGAAGCTTGCGCCCGTCTTTGGCACGACGGTGCCTCAGTGGCAGTGGCGGCATCCATCTGGCACCCCTTCAGGACCCGCAGTGGCGGGAGGCCAGAGTGGACGCTTGCCAGGCGGCGCACGGGCCTCGAAGAGAAGGTTAGCTGGCGATTCTAGCGAGGAGCGCTTGGGCCGCGTGGAGGGCGACTGCGACGGAGGCGGAGACGTTCGCCGTCGAAGGGGCGAGCAAGGCCTGGCGCTGCACGGTGGCGTGAAGTTCGCGCAGCGTGGTGAGATGCTGTCGCGTCGTGCGACGAACGCTGCCGAAAGAGGACTGGACGCGGCTCGAGCTGACGCTCGAGCCGCGTCAAGTGGTCGTCGGCCGCAGGCTGAGCTTGGCCCTTCGTGGCTTTCACCTGTGACGGGAGAGGGGCCAGCACGGCCGTCTGAGGGGCGTGCCAGGCCCTGCGCACTACGGGTGAGACTCACCAGCGCTCGGCCAGAGCCCGACTGGGAGGGGGAACCCGGAAGATGCGGGGCGCGCCTGGAGCGGCCTGGGTCTTCGTGGTGAAGGAGGACCGTAGGGCAAGGCAGGCAAGGGACCATCATGGGGGGCAGGAGGGAGGTGCCGCGCTGCTGGTGGGAGGAGGGTCGATACTTCCATAGTCGGTCAGTTGTTGGAAGAGATGGTGGGGGTCGGTGGCAGGCAGCCAGGCGTCACCGTCGAGACTCCGCAGGTAGTACCTGTGCGGGAGATTGACGTACGGTGGCGGTGGTAGGGGCCGGTAGAGCGCCGTTTCGCGCCCGATGATTTGACGTGGGTCGCGAGATGCCTCGTATAGGTGCATGTCCGGAGACGCCGCATGGCCGACTAGGGCAGCGGACTGGGCTGACGGAGCCGCGACACCGGTGGTGGCTGACGCCGTTGGCGGAGACCCGCTGGCAGACCTCCGCGGTGCCACTGGGTGGGTCAGGGCCCGAGGAGGGCCTTTGCGGTGGCTCCGAGTCGGGCGAGGATGGCCCGGAGGAGGAGCCAGTCGCCACACCAGCCTTGGTGCCATGGGCAGTGAGAGGTGGATCCTCGGTGGCGGGGCCCGCGGTCACGGCGGGATGGTGAGCGTGAGCATCCTGGGCCCCAGAATGCTCACGCTCACCATCACGCTCCCTGTCTTTCTCTCTCGGAGCCGCCCCAGGCCCCAGGACCTGGGGCGGCTCCGAGAGAGAGAGAGAGACAGAAAGAGAGAGAGAGAGAGAGAGAGACAGAGAGCGAAAGGGAGAAAGACGAGGAGGAGGAGGAGGAGGAATAGGACGAGGAGGAAGGGAACAACACCAACGTCGTAAGTGAATGCTGGTAAGACTGGGTGCGGAGATTGTTCCTCATGGGAGATGGGGGGCATCTGTGGCGGGGGGGGGCCTTTCGGAGGGCAGGGGGGCGGTTGGGCGCCCCCTGAGGAGGGGCCGCTACGTCGGTCCACGAATTGTGTGCGGACCTCCGAGAATTATGTGTGAATTGCATTTTCTCCTTGGATGTCACACGTGGCATGTATAATCCAGGGTTCTGGCCACCCCACCCTCCTCATGGTGACGCTTTCGCCCCCCCCCTCTGCGCCATGGGTCCCCCCCCCACTGTGCTCGTGGCCTTGTGGGCGTGACGTGGTGGGGGGTGTCTGTGCCCCCGTGCCCCCGTGGGTGTGGGGTGTTGCCGTCGTCGGCGTCGGCGTCGGCGCCTGCGTCGGCGTCGACGCCAGGACGGCGGCGTCGGCGTCGGCGTCGGCGTCGGCACTGACATCGGCGTCAGCGTCGGCGAGGTCGTCGTCGTCGCCGTCGGCGTCGTCGTCGTCGTCGTCGTGGTCGTCGTCGTCGTCGTCGTCGTCGCCGTTGCCGTCCCCCCCTTCCCATCAACTTGGGGGCCCATCCCATCTGGGAGGTGGGGAGGGTTATGAGCCTTCAGCCCGGGAGCAGATGTACGGGGATTCCCTGCCCATGGCAGATGGGGGCAGCCAGCAGAGGCGGGGGATTTGGGTAGGGAATGGGGGGGGTCGCGCTGAGACGCGACTGGGCGATTGGGCGTTCTCTGGGGAATGGCCGCTTCCCGTGGCGTGCGTGTATGCTGGCGTCCGTAACCCCATTTGGGTCGAGCCCCATTTGGTTCAAGTCCCCTTGGCTCAAGGGGGGCCGCAGCGGGTGGCGCCGCGGGGCCAGCGGTCGCTTGACCGCCAGCTTGCCTGGGGTGGGGTTGTGAAGGAGTTCCTCCCGTCACGGCGCCCCCCGTGCTCATGGAATCCCGTTCTCGCTCTACACACTGTCGCCGCCAGCGGCGTGCGGCTAACGGCAGGGCCGCTGCGACGGCGCCTGGATTCGCGGCCCGCCGCCGAGGCGCTCCGCTGGCGCCTGCGCTGCAGTCGGCTGCTCTCGCGGCGGCCGCCGCATGCGGGGCAGCTGCGGTCGCGGCGGCCCGAGCCGCAGTTGCTGGCCTCAGGGCCGCCGCGGGAGGTTCGCGCACGCCCCGTCCACCAGTGCGGCGCGAGAAGACGCGGCGGCTCGACGAGTCGGGGAAGGCCAAGGGCAGGGACGACGAGCCCTCGTACAGCAAGGGCGTCGGGAGTGCGAGTGCCCGGCGCCCAGTGCCTCCCCCGAAGTTCCAGGGGATGCCCCCCCGCGGTTTGCGCGCCCAGGAGTCCGATGACCCGAGGGGGGAGGAGAGGCCCCGCGAGGACGATGAGGGGCTTGCCGAGGAGGAAGAGGCGCCGCCAATACCGAGAGGCAGCGAAGGCATCGACGTCGAGCAATCAGAACCCTAGCCATCCTGATCTCCCCCCCGTCCCCGTCCACATCGCCAGCATCCTTCTCGCTTCGCTCACTCGCCCACTCTCCGCCCCCTTCCTCTTCCTCCTCTTCGCCCTTCCCCTCTCCCTCTTCATCCTAGTGTGGTTGCTCCTGCGCGCAGCGCCAAGGCCGAAGAGCACGACGGGTATAGCGGCGTACGCGCACCAGCTGGCGAAGCCACTGTGGCTGCAGTCGACGTCGACGCAGAATCATCTGCACCAGCGAGGACGGAGGTGGATCAGAAGGCCCCTGCATGTTAATCGCCCAATGCTGTCTCCACCCTTCGATGACCCGACCCCGCCCGCGCCCCGACGCCCCACGGTGGCCCTCGACTATCGCTTACCAGACATGCTAAATACATCGTTGTCGTCGAAAGGCCGCCGCGGAGGATGCGCCCGCGGCTGGCGAGGAGGCGCATGCGGAGCCCGACTGGGCTACGTTCGGGAGGGGCCCGCGCTCCTGGCCCGGGGTTCTCTCATCGCTCGGGATCGACGAGACGGGCCAGCAGAACATCTTCCCCTTGGCTCAGTCCTCGGACGACGGGCACCGCGAGGCCAACGACGCGATGTGCACGCTGGTCAAGAAGATTGGCGAGGGGTCTCTGAATAACCCCTCGCACTTCGTGCAGAAGTGCGTGGCGAACGCGCGCCAGGCCCTTGAGCAGCAGTGCGGCGTTGGCACGTGGCGCCGTTCGTCTGAGAGCGTGATGGGCGTCGGTAGGACGATCAGATCGACGACGAATAATACGACGACGACGACGATGCCCCCCTCCAGTCCTCACGGATAGGCTGCGGTGCGTATAATGCTAGGTCGCCGCCTCTCTGTTGGAGCCCGTGGACATATGGTCTTCTTTCGCGGCCAGCCTGCTGAATCGATATCGACGTAGGTGTTCGAGGTTGATGGTCGAGGATGCGGTGGGGCCGCGCGTGGCGACCGATGCGATAGCACCGCGGCCTAGGCCCTCGAGGACCTAGCCTAGGCCCTCGCAGCGCCGCATATGATAAGCGCGTTTAGCAGGGCACATTCGACTTCGTCTCGGTGCGCAGAGCAGGGGAAAAACAAAAACACACATCGACGTCGACTCGGCGCGTTCCCACGCGCTCCGCCCCCCCCCCCCCCCGAAACACGTCGACGTCGACTCGGCGCGCGCCCGCCCCCCCCCCCCTCAATCCTGGCGCGCGCTCGTTCAGGAGCTCGTCGCCCATAGTGCCGCGCTGCTCGCCCGAGACGACGATCTTGAGTGTGTGCGCGCGCATATCCTTGCGCGCCTGATCGAAGCCCTGCTGGCCGCAGACCGTCTTCTGGGTCTGACGACGTGGACGAGGGAGGAAGCGAGGACGAGAAGGGGGGGGGGGGGGAGGTGGAGGGGGCAGAGCGACGAGGATGAGGGCGGGGCAGGGAAGGGGGGGGCGGGCGAGGGCGATGAGGAGGAGGAGGAGGGGGGGGAAAAGACGACGCGGAGGGC